TGAAAGTGTATAATCTAAAACTAGTTAAACAGTGAAATTTAGTGACAATAGATATAGTTAAATAAATAATTGATAATGATACTGTTTACATATGTATTGCTATGATAAGTAATATTTGGATATGAATATTGAATGGTACCTATGAAAGGAAGATTAGGAATTTTTTTGTTATATATAAAAGTTAATAAAAAAAGAACTAAGTTAAATTTAGTTAAGTTTTGATTATTAGGGGGAAAATGTTATGATAAAAGATAGTCAAACAAAGGAGGGATAATGATAAGCATATATAAATGCATGGGTACAACATAAGGAAATTGGATGTAAACTGAACAGTGATTTGGAAAGAAGGATTAGAAATTTTTGTTACTAAATATTATGGATGTTTAGGATGTTAATATGAATTATGGTTGATGACTGGAAGAGATGCACGAAAGTCTTTGGTAACCAACTGATAGACTTTCTACAGTATGTAAAGAAGGAGGATTCTTTGTGTTGTGTCTGTTTTAAAAATAAAAAATAAAAAATATACATAAAAAACGAGATATACTTTCTCTTAATATATATCATTACTGTATTTACATTGCTACAGAGGGAGATAACTTTCTTTGATATTTAATATAGTACAGGGACAATATAGTCCTCACATTTGACATACTAGATTAGTAGCACTTCCTAAAAGTACATCAGACAACTCAGAGGAAGCGAGGGTTCAAAAGGGAAATTTGGAATCTCAGATTTATTATAAAGCAGCCAATGCCATGTGTGTTGCCTGTTTATGGAAGAAGTCTCTGAGCAATGAAACAACATCTCAAAAGCAGTTTCCTCCAATCCTTTAACTCAGTGAGGGTTCTTAATCGTGGATCTGGGTCTGTAACGTTGATAAGGCTGGTCTTCATAGCTTCCTAATCTTTCCTTTATGAATAGTATCCATTGTTTCTTTGGGTTCACATCTTCTAATCAAGAGGAACTTAAGAAGTTATTTCAGAAAATAAAACATATCAATTGAAGTACACTGTTAACTCTTTCATGAATCTGCAACCTTTGGCATCCCTCGTGCTCTACTGTTGAAAGATAGTCCTCTCTTGGCCAATATTTATCACATAAATATAATAGAAATAAGGGCGATATCTTTGAATTGCTTCATAGCTTAGCTTTAAGAACATCTATATAATCTTATTGTTGGACTGCACAATATGACATTGCATGTATCAAAAGGTATACAGGACATTTTTGAAAAACAAATGGCTTTCCCTAGCCTTATTTATTTTAGTGTTAGCTGAACTCTACTTAATTATTGTTTCAATTTACTACTATTTATACTTTTCCCCTCCTTCGGGGAACAGTTATTAGTCTATTTCTTTAGATTATAATGAAGAACTATGTTTTAAAATATTTTATAATGTATATTTCCTGCCTTTAACAAGTTTCTGTTACTATTGTTGCTTTAGTTTGTGCCTTCCAAAAATATCAGATTTCTGAATGATGCTTGCAACAATGTCAAAGAAAATATTGTGTAATGTATATTTTCTGCCAGCATGAGGGGAGGGGGAAATTGCTTTTGTTTTTCAAAAATACCAATTTCCAATATTGTTTGCAATAATGCCAAATAAACATTCTCAAGAGTATGCCATCTTGTGGTTGAAAAGCACAGGTGACCAAGTCATTGATTGGATGACATCATTAAAAAGCTTTATAAAAAAATAATGTTTAGGCAGGAGATATCAACTTAAACAAAATTTTCAGAAGGTAGAAATATCAGTGTCTAAGCAAATTGCTCACATGAGATCTGGGATAATACAGTATGCATAGGATTTATACACAAGATTTATAATACATTTAAGGCTACTGTAATTTACACCCTGGATTTAATGAATAAATCATAGTTTATTTTAGGATAGGAAACCACAATTTGAAACAATTTCTGATTTGCCTATTACAGGGAGACCTTAATTTATGACCACAATAGGTACTGGAAAATTTGTCATTAAGCAGTATGATTAAGAAAAGTACCACATGACCGAACCCAATTTTCCAACCTTTTTTGCTGTATTGTCAAGCATCATATGACTGTGACTTCTGACTTTCCCAGCCAATTTCCCTATTGACTTTGCTTGTCAGAAGTCAGTTAGAAAGATCACAAATGGCAACCACACGACTATGGGACACTGTGACTTGTCTGTTGTAAATGTGCAACATTTGCAAAGTGCCCAAATAACTATCACCTGACCATGAGGATGCCGAAGCAATGGCAAGTGCATGGACCAGTCATAAGTCACTTTTTTCCATGTTGCAATTTTGAATGGTTGCTCAACATATGGTAACAATAGCACTTAAACTTATATACCACTTCACAGTGCTTTTACAGCCTTCTCTAAGTGATTTACAGAGTCAGCCGATTGCCCCCAACAATTTGGGTCCTCATTTTACCCACTCCAGTAGGATGGAAGGCTGAGTCAACCTTGAGCCTGATAAGATTTGAACTGCCAAATTGCCAGCAGCTGGCAGTCAGCAGAAGTAGCCTGCAGTACTGCATTCTAATCACTGCACCACTGCAGTGGTGGTAAGTTGAGGAGTGCCAGTATAAATATATCTTACAGTGTATTCCTAATTGGTTTCATCCCATCCAAGTCTCTAATAAAATCCAGAGACATACGGCAAGGATAGCTTTTAAAAAAGAAATTAAAACAAACCAATATCTCCTTTACTATACCTCATTGCTTAGATTTTTAGTTTCTGGCTTTTTCAAAAAGATATTTATATATGAATATAGTTGAGAAAGGGCTTTGATAGACAAATTGGGAAACCAAATAAGAATGAGATAATCTAGGGATGGTTTATTGCAGAAAAGAGGTTAGTGGGATTAGCAATGGTAGGGATGTTTGAAACTCATTCAATAAATTATATTAAATCATTTCTCAAATATTAATCATACCAATAATAGATTATTAAAAGCTGTATAATACTTCCAATAATTCAAAAAGCCTTTCTAGTTGTATAGAAGTTATATGATTTTTATAATAATTCTATAAAACACATTTCTCTTTCCCATATTATAGCTGGAAAAACTGATGGTTAAAGATGGTTCATGAATTCCCTAGCCATGAAACAATTTAATGTGACAGGGCAGGTAGAACCCAAAATATTTGCATGTGTTACATGGCTCTTATTAAAGTCTATAAGGTTTCATTAAGAAACAAAGGTTAGCCAAAAGTCAGGATGGTGTTATGCAGAGGGACTAGGCCTGTCACTCAGGGGTTCTGTTAAATATTAAGGAATATATACAGAGTTGTAATTTGTTTAACCACAAACTATTACATAAACAGCAATAAATTGAGTTTGCTGATCATATTAAGCCAGCAGCTAAGCTCTTCAAATCACAATGGCTGGATTTTCAGGAAACAAATGACATTTTCCTATGCAAATGCCACAGAAAAAACTAGCTCATGATATAATCCTTATAAAAATGCAACAATTATTATTTATTTATTATTTGTAATACACAGCTGTAGTGAAGCACCGAGTATATTCTGAGTTCATGTAGATAGCATCAATTAAGGCATAGCAGCCTCCCTGTAGTTGGTGACATAGCAATTATACTGTTTTCAGTCTTTGACTTCTTAATTTGAAAGTTACGTATTTGAGTTCCTGAAAGTTGTGGTTTGCTTAACCGGTAGACCAGTTTTTTTTCAACGTTAGCAACTTTAAAATGTATGAACTTCAACTACCAGAATTCCACAACCAGCACATCTTAAAGTTTCCAAGGTTGAAAAGCATTGCTATACAGATCAATGTTTCTCAACCTCAGCAACTTGAAATCTACTGTAATAGTTATGAGAATAACCTTGAGACACAGGAAGAAGAGCTGGAGTCTAGATAACGATCTGATAAAAAAATGAGTCTAAACCAGAAATGTAGTTATAAAAGATTTTAGCTTCCTGGTCTGGACTACCATGCAGGGCTGACACCACCTTTTAAATTGTTGATACTGTGAAGCAGTTGTGTAGACATGTACATATACTTGGATCAATGACCTGATTTCAGAATAGGGTAGCTTTCTAAGCAATATTCAGCATGAACTGAATTAGCATGATAAAATATGCTCCTGGATATTTTTTCAGTCCTCAGAATTTCATAGCAGGCATGCCAACCTGGAAAGCATTTTCTCCAGAAGTAAAAATAATAATAGCCTCTATTTGAGCTTGACATCTACTGTCCACCATGCAAGATTTTTGGAAACATTACGAAAATAGTTTCTCAGAATAAAGGTTTTTGTGGGTTTTTTTTTCCATTTTCAATGTCTAGCCCCGGGGCTTCTTCCTGGCCTCCCATGCAAATACTATACAAATTAAACTCTGCTTGGCCCATCAGGTAAGGACCGTAGCATGCTTGAAATTGAGATTTCAGCCAACAACAAAAACTCCAGGCTGCTTGAGTTTTCTTTAATTTCTTATATAAATAAACTGGAAGCTTATATGCTTCAAAGTATCAGCCTCTTCCTTTTTAAAAAAAGAAAGTTTACAAGAAAGCGAAATTTTAAATTTTTTTAAAAAAAGAATTGTCTTTCAGTCCCACATAACATCCATACTTTTGAAAAATAATTTGGTTAGTTGCAATGCAGTAGGCATACTCATTTAGCAATGGCAAATAAACTGGAGAGCAATGATAGTTTGTATCACCAGTTCCCCTCCCTCCCCCTCTTCAGCCCTTTTTTCCCATTTCGTTACTGTAACTTCCTGCAATAACAGATACTTTAGGATTCAGGCAGCCATCCCCTGGAAGTTTTTTTTGCGAATGGGTATATATCATGTCAATATTCCAGTGTATCTACTGCCTCAATAATGTTGATTTTACTTAAAGTGGAAAGCCTGTGGTACATGGGTCATGTTACAATTTATTCTAAATTGGTTAACTTTGCTGTAGGTTTCTTGACTGATTTAAGGTGCTGGTTTTATCTTTTACAGCTTTAACATCTTAGAGGAATAGACTGAATGGGGCTGAGAGATCTGCAATGGAAGCTCTGTTCTCTGTCGTAATAGTGAACAAGGTTAAGCGTTTCCTAATCACTATCACTTTTTTTCAGTGATAGTTCCTTGCCGGAGGTGGGCTGCTTGGGGTTCGCAGGGGTTCAGGAGAACCTCTAACTAAGTTTCTGTACAGTTCAGAGTACCCCTAAATCCTTCTCCGGGCTGGCCCCGCCCACTTCCCACACTGCCTCTCCAAGGAGTCCCCACATGGCCTGTTTTGGACGTAGGTAAGTGCAGGATGTGCGCGGAGGCTCAGGGAGGGCGAAAAATGGTCCTACCGGAAGTTCAGGAAGGCCAGAAACGGGCCCATTTCTGGCCTCCAGAGCCTGGGAGGCTGTTTCTGCCCTCTGGAAGGCTCAAAGAAAGCCTCCAGAGTCCGGGTGGGGCAACCCCCCCCCCCGGGTTGGTGCAGGTAGCCAACTGGGCCACGCCTACCATGGCCACACCTACCTAGCAACCGGGCAGAGAACCCCCTGGTAAAAATTTGGAAGCCCACCCCTGACCCATGCCTTTGGAACTTCCTTCCTATGCAGTTTCCAGATATGACATCATCATCCTTTTTAAAAACTCCCTCTTTGTAATTGTATTTCTATATTTTATTAAACTTGCAAACTACCCTGTAAAGCCAGCATATCTTAGAAGGTTAGTGAAAAGTCTTTTAAGTTAATAATGAACCAATAGGTAATATTTTGTAACAACAAAATAATAATTCTCCTTAATTATGATTATTGCCATTATCCAGTGATGTATGTCATAACTACTGCTATATGCAAACCTCCTTGCCAAATGATCCCCAATTCAACCTTGTTTAAAGCCTATTCTCAGTGGATGCTTTTCACTGTGAATAGAATTGTTACTCAGGTGGTATGGTTTACAAATATTTGATGTGGGTGGTTTGCAGTGGCTGAAAAAATACACAAAGGGATCCGTGTATTACATGTTTGTATTCCAAAACAAAATGCAAGTTTTCACAGATAACTTTCACTACTCTGCAACTAAAGGTGGAATTAGACAACTTTTTGGGGTAAAAAACAATCCTGTCTTACCACAGCTTCATCATCCAAAGTATGCAGTATTATTCCCCTTAACAATATATAGTGAGCATTATTACCGCAACTAGTAGATGTCTTTTTTTTTTAATTTAAAAGGTGGGTTTATTTTAAACCATTTTGCATCCAAGAAAGAGCTTTTTTCAAAGCATCGATCTTACTTTTGCCCGTTCAATTGTAATCCCAAGGACAGATACTTGATGTGATTTTGCTAGGATCTTCTGCTTCCTGAGCCTCTGGTTTCTCCTCTGTTTTGCTTTGGGCTACCACAGCAGGCACAGAACTGACTTCTTCTGTCTCTCCTAAGCAGGCTTCCGAGCCTTTTTCATTTTTTGCAGAGTAAGTTTTGGTCAGTGTAGAATCTTTCTCTGCTTCCGAAGAGAAGGTGTTGTCTATGAAAATATCCTCTCTGCTTCCTGATGAAAGGATCTTGTTTGTACCTTCAGACTGTGCCCTTGGAAGACTGTGGCTCAAAGACATGTGCCCAGCCATGTGCGTGCTTTGGGTTATTTCCCCAGTGTTTGCTGGTACCTCTGTTTCTGCTTCCCATGGACAAATCTCTCTCTTACTGAATGACTCTGACTGTTTGGCTTCTTGAAGGGAGGTCTCCATATTTTCTGAACCAACAAACGTCTTTGAAGAAATGCTGGCTACCTCGATGCCTGCAGCATTTAAATCAGACTGTAGAGAATTGCTACTTTCCTCCAGAGTTTCCTGTGTTTCAACAGAGCTTCTTGAATCTGTTTTCACATTCTCTTTGGAAGCTTTCCTTGAGGTCTCCTTCTCCAGTGGAGCTTCAGTAACTTCCCAGGGACATACTTCAGCTTTCATAGTAGCTCCAGCCGCCTGCATTTCCCCAAATTCTGTTTTTAGGCTTTTAGTATTGTCAGGTTTGATGGACAGGTCTAAGCTTTTACTGTTGGGTGTTAATGAGAGTGTGTCAATATTTTTCTGGGAAGAAATTGTAGCTTGCTGACTATGTGACTTGAATACTTTAGCTGACATATCTATCCAGGCTTTCTTTAAGCTTGGGCTTGTCAGCATATTGCATTTTGAAACTCCACTGATATCCTGTGTTACTATTGTATTACTGCTAGATGTAGGCTCTGTTTCCATGAGATCAGTCTTGCCACTGGATTCCTCATCCCCAACTTCCCAAGGACATATCTCTGCTCTTTCAGCATTCTCTGATTTCGTTGAACCATCTTTGGCCAATGTTGGGCTTTGGCTGCTTCTTTGTGCCATGCTCTCCCAAGGACAAATAGATTCTTGTGGGCTGCTTACTTCCTCTTGTCTCTTTATCTGCCTTATTAAAGGTTTTGTATCTGTTTTATAATTGAAAATCTGGTCTGACTCCTTTCTAAAGGTACTTTCATCTGGTGGTCCTTCAATCTTAGCATCTGTCTGATGCTCCTGGAAATCCCACGGACAAATCTCTGCCTTCACACCCTCAACACTTCCAGTATTTTTAGAACTAACTTGCAATAGATGTGGATTTTGACTGCTTTTTGTAGTTGGTTCTTCAGTGATCATACTTCCTGAGGGAAAAATAGATCCTTGATTACTTCTTGATATCTTAATTTTTTTAAATGCTGCTTCTCTCCAAGCTTTATTGGAGCTTTGACTTTTAAGTGCATTGCCTTCCTTCTCTTTGCAAAGCACAGCTGAGACTTGCTTTTTTGTTTTAAATGAGCGCATGGCTTCAGTCCATGGAGATATCTTCACCTCTTCTGAGGTTTCCCATGGGCAAACATCTACCTTTACACTTTTAATACTATCAGATTTCTTTAAGCCACTCTCGTACGGAGGCAGACTTTGGTCACCAGATCTTGGTGAAAGTTGCTGAAGCTCTCTGCTGTCCCATGGACAGATATCTTCCTGTAAATTGCTCAGATTTGCAGTTGTTTTGGACAAACTCACTGGAGAAGTACTTTTGCAGCCCTCATCTGCTTTGGAAGCATTTTCTTTGGTCATTTCCCAAGGACAGACTTCTGCCTTTAAGTTTTCTGTGCTATCAAAATTCTTTGAAGGGATTTTGGAAGGTATACTGGGATCAACACTGTCCCAGGGACAGACATCTTCCTGTAAATTTCTCAGATTTGCAGTTGTTTTGGACAAACTCACTGGGGAAGTACTTTTGCAGCCCTCATCTGCTTTGGAAGCATTTTCTTTGGTCATTTCCCAAGGACAGACTTCTGCCTTTAAGTTTTCTGTGCTATCAAAGTTCTTTGAAGGGATTTTGGAAGGTATACTGGGATCAACACTCTCCCATGGGCAGACAGCTTCCTGGAGACTGCTTACCTTTTCTAACATTTTAGAAGGACTTGTTTCTTTCTGTAAAATAATCTTAGGACTATCCACACTTTCCCAAGGACATACTTCTGCCAATATGTTTTCTGCACTGCCAGATCTGGGGGAGCTTAGGCCTTTAACGTTTGACTCAGATGACAATTGGCCAGCATTCAAGATTTCACAAAGATTACTTGTCTCTTGTGAGCTATGTGCCTTTTCTGGAGACTTAGATCCAATGGCTACAGTCTTCTTGGTTGCTCTTTCTGTATCCTGATTGGAAGGCGCCAACATTTCCCAGGGACAGATTTCTGCTTTATTAGCAGTCTCAGTGCCTTCAGCTTCCCAGGGGCAAACTGTTGTCTTTCGGTTTTCCAGGCTTTCTGAACTCCCTGAGGTGAGTTTGGAAAGACTGAGGGTCCTGGATGTAGACTTGATCAATACATCTTCCCCGACTATGTTCTCCCATGGACAAATAGATTCCCTATTCTGATTGTTCTCTTTCACAAATGCTTCTTCTCCAGTTCCTTTTTTCTCATCTCTGGAAACCTCAGTTACATTCCCTTTAAGCCTGCTTTCTGATGTTGAGGGATCATTGTTTTCCCAGGGACTTGCTTCAATTTTTAGTTTTGGTTCACTGATTTCCCAGGGACAAATTTCAGCCTTCTTGTCTGTTTTTGAAACCAATGACAAGAGGTCGGAAGTTTTATTCTCTCCGTTTTGATCCTCTAGTCCCTCTCTGGGACACATAGATCCCCATTGGTTCTTGGTCTTTTCCAATCTGTCAGGGGAGATCTCCTTAGCACCTTTGGAAACTGTTGCTGGTAGGTTACACACTCTATCCTCAATATCTTCCTTCATCTCCCAAGGGCATAACTCAAGGTTTCTATTTAAATTATTTTTATGTGAGCTAGGAGAAGCTTCTTCTTCCTCATCCCAAGGGCAGATAGTGGCTTGTTTGCTGATTTGCTTTGCCCTGCTATATTCAGGACTCCTAGAGGGTACTTCTTGTCTTGATGATCTTTCAGCAGGGATTAAAGCTGTTTCTGCCAACTTGGGCTTTCCACTGATGTCTTTCTCATTTTTGGCTTCGCTGCTCTCACTGTTCTTTCTGGAACTTATGCTTCCCTTTAACTTTGAATGGTTGAATGCTTTAATGGCTATACCTAAGCTTTTTATGGAGCTTTTGGGAATGAGGGTTTGTGATTGTTTCTCAGGAGAGCTGTTTTGATTACCTGAATCGCTCACCTCTAGGTCTTTCTTGCTTGGAATGGGCATTTCCATAACCTCCCAAGGGCAAACGTCGGCAGCAAAGGAGGCTAGCCTGGCTAATTCCACTCGAGAAGAAGATGGCACCTTATCTTCTCCTTGCGTAGTCTTTTCCATGTCAGGTTTTAATGAAGAACCCTCTTCTGTTTCTGTTAGATACGTGTTTACTAACACTGGAATATTTGGGGGTTCTTTTTCAGGAGACTGAGAAGGATGTTCCTTCTGATTGTAAGCATCCCACCGAGCTACACATCTTTCAATGTTGTGAATCAAACTTTGTTGCCTGATGGGTGGTTCAGGTGGTACCTTCTTAATGGTGTGGGGTCTTCTCTCAGGCAAATCAGGAATGTTGATACTGATGCTCCTGATGGGAGCGGGTATTACATCCTTCCTATCTCTGCTTTCTAGTGGTCGTGATGGGTCTGTCTCAGCTTCCCATGGACATATAATGCTTTTGCCTTCCGGAAAATGTCTCTCAATTCCTTTTGCTGTATCCTCTCTCTGCAGCTGTCTCACCTCAATTTCTGAGACTACATTACTGAATTCAGTGTGCCTGGACTTCTCACTTTCTGGCATGGTGTCTTCCATTACTGCACTTATGTCTTTCTCTTGAGCAGGTTTATAGGTATTTTCTAAATTAGCTGTTCTAGTTAACAGTGAGGTGTTTTCTTTTTCACTGCTGGCAACACTAAGGGATTTCTGCAGAGTGTAATACTTGGGATACAGAGATTTCTTATCTGCCAACAAATCATGAGCACTGGCTGATTTGTATACCAGAGTGGCTGAAAAAACAGACTCATTGTCAGATTTCTCTGAGGCTTTCTTGGATAGCTTTTTCCTCATACATGAATCCAACAAAGGAGCTTCTTTGCAACTATCATCTCTAGTTAGTTCACTGTTTGCCTTAACATCCCTCGGTTGGTCATAGGTACTATGAGATTTCTTCAGTGAAATCCGACCTTGTGCTTGGAAGACCACTTTGTGCTTGGGAGATAAGCCCTCCTTCAATTTCATGCTCAGGTTTCTGGAATCTGAGCATCTTTGCTTATAGGAACCAGAATGACTTTGTCTTCTTCCACTGACAGACCCAATTTTTTCCTTTTTGCTACACTGGCGGGACATAGATTCAGGTAACTCGGTGATACGTCTCATCAAAGTGTGGCCTAAGCCCCTCTTTGAACTTCTCTTCTTCTGAAGGTGAGGGTTGTTGGCCGTCATCTTCTTGGTCTTGTGAAATTGTAGCTGGGTATAAAGCTTTTTCAATTCATCCTACATATTATGTGGAAGGGGAGGAGAAAATACAGTAAAGGGCAGGGGAGCAAGATAGAAGAAAAATAAACAGCTTTTCAGTCAAAAGCATAATAATAATGAATTATGTCCACTGGATGAAATGGCAACCTGATTGGGTTTACTAAAGTATTTTCTTTTTTAATGGCTTTATCTGTACTCTTAAGATGGCTCTTTATTCCAGGATTAAGCGAAATAGTCCTGCCATGAATCCATCTTTCTCCTGTGTGCTGCTTGGGGAATCTAAGCGTGGGTTAACTTTGTCCATTAGCCTTGAGACTGAGTTATGCAAATTGCTGGCCACGCCTCCTCTGACTGGACTGGTTCAGTTTTTTTAACTCAGTGCAGCCTAAAGAGACACAAAATTATTCTCTCTGGGTTACTAGACAAGTTCATCATTATTATTATTCAGCTTGAATTCCCTTCACCAGCTTGAGCTCCTTTCATGGAGCAGTAAATATCTCTACAAATAGGTTTGTTTTCTCTTCGTTTAAAGTGGCAATTGGATTTTAGCGTTCCCGGAGCCTTCGGGGCCAGGAAACCTCTTTATTGGAGGCGAGGGCGTGCCATTGTTCATTGTGGAAAGGTTGGTTTGCCGCCTTCATTTTGTCTTGTCGCAGCTGGGGATTGGTTCGCCACCCATGCTGCCCGCTCTAGCCACTGTCTGTTGCCCCCCTCCTTCCCCCGAGGTTGCCTGGTGATGCGCGGAGCCCGGATGCCCCCATCACCCTATGGCTGGGCTCCCTGTAATACCTCGACCTCGAGAGCCTCTGGAAGCTGCGGCTGCGGTCGCTGGCAAGATACGAGGCAGGTGTTTTCCATTCTGGCAGCAGCCTTTGTACCTCACCGATTTGAATCTCCCACCCCTGTGGTTGGTCGTGGGAGCCATTTTGGAGCCCTTTTCGAGCTGACAAACAGTGTGGCTGGGCGTGGCTTCATTTTCCCGCCCACAGTGATGTAAATAACCAGATTCATTGCTCCACGGACGTCGGTTTGCCACCATTTTTCAGGAGCACGAGTTTGATCTCTCACGGCCTCCTGCTTCAATTGTGATCGGCATTTGGTATTTCAGTAAACGTGAGCTTGAGCCCTTTCAACCTAGCTTACATGGCGGATCGTTCTATTACCGGGGGCAGCGCTGGGGCTCCCACCTCTCCTCAGTTGTCCTCCGATGCCAGTGGGGCATCTAAAGTGGGTAGGACCACCACCAGGGCCGCCAGCCACAGATCCCGCACCACCTCTGCGGCTCCTGCCAGGGCCACTAAGCGCACCAGTAAGACCAAGAATGAGTTTAGGGATCCCTCAACCCCCAGGCCACCTCCCATCCTGCTGCCTGAAGGGCCTTCTACCTCCGGCCTAACTGGAATTCAAGGTTGGTCCCCAGACCTCCCTCTCCCTCAAGATCTCACAACTGTAGGACCTGACTCAAGCCTTCAGGGCTCGTCTGATCCTTCTGAGCTCAACCCAGGCCCGGCCCCCTTCCGTTCAGGGGCCTTAGCCAGATTTACTCCCATGGCTGCTGGCAGCAGACCTGAGGATACTTCAGAATTTGACCTCTCCCCTGGGCTCAGGGACATGATTGCCACTGCCATATCTAGGGGAGTGGATGTAGAATTACAGCATAGGAATCAACGCTCTAGGAATTTGATTTCTGTCAGAGATTTAGCCACCTCTCAGGCTGATCTCCCTTCTCCCTTGCCTTCCATCTATAGTGAGGGGTATGTTTTAGGGGAGGAAGGTAAGATTTTGGATTTAGAGTTATCAGATAATGAAGGTCTGATTCAGGATAAAGTTCCTTTTTGGGACCTCTTCAGACCAGCCCTATTTAAATTCCTACTTTGTAAAGCCAAAGCCACCTCCAATTTGGGGGGAGCAACCACCCAGACCAGTACCGAGGTGGGCCTTGATCCCATGAAGCACTTGTTTGTTGAACAAGTACAAGAACAAGAAGCTATTCCATCACCCAAATTGTTTCTGGACATAATCAAAAAACAATGGTCCCAGCCCACCGCAGTCTTGCCCCCTAGCAATGGTGGTAGAAAGCTTTATGCTTCCACTCCAGAATTGGACACCATTTTGCAGTTTCCCACTGGCTTCCCCAGCCCACATTCCATCCGAGATTTCAGAGGGATTGAAGGCTGAGGACCGCAAGGCGGAGCTCGTTATTCGCAAAATGCACCAGGCGGCTGCCTGGGCATTGTGTGCCGCTACGGCGGCCTTGTTCTTCAATAGAACTTCCTTAGTTTGGTTAAGACAACTACAGGAGAGGATAGGCCCAGAGGACTTGCACCTTCATCAGGATGTGGTCAAACTGGTGGCGGCCTTAGACTTCTCTTCGGATGCCACGCTCAATGCGGCCAAGTCTGCGTCCCGAGCTGTGGCATCCAACATAGCATCTCGTTGCCTGTTATGGCTACGCCATTGGCAGGCAGACGTACGATCCAAATGGCTCCTTGGCTCCACCCCCTTCAAGGGCTGTTCCCTATTCGGAGCAGCGCTGGATCCTATACTGATTGAAACGAGGGACAAGCGAAAAGTACTTCCTTCAACTGCTAGGTGCACGGATTGGAGGCAACAACTTATCCTTGAAGGCAGCCTTTTTGTATTGGGGAGTCAGGGTACTCCTCCCTCCCATACACCCCTCTATCGAATAGATCCTTTTCTCAGTCCCAGGACAGGTTTCAGGACAGAGCCAATACTAGGGACAGAGGTAGAAACCAGCACCAACAGCAGGCCCAGGCCCGGCGGCCCTTTCATGGTGCCAACAACCGGTCTTTTCATAGGTACCAATGACTCGCTAGAGGGTGGCACTATTGTCAGGTGCTTAACCACCTTCATCTGCCAATGGGAAACCACAACCTCAGACACCTGGGCTTTTCGGACTGTGAGGTTAGGCCTCACTCTGGAGTTCCTAGACATTCCCCCGAGACGTTTCATCAAATGCCTGGTGCCCAGGTGCCAGGTAAAGCGGTGCCTGATGGACACGGAAATCCAGCATCTCATTTCCATCAGAGCAATAGAACAGGTGCCAAGGGGACAGGAGGGTCTAGGTTTCTATTCCATATTCTTCCTAGTTCCCAAGACCTCGGGAGGATGGTGGGCCATCCTAGACTTGAAACGGCTCAATTTCTACCTAAAGTACCAAAAATTCAAAATGCAGTCACTCAAGAGTATTCTGGCAAGCATTCGCCAAGGCAATCTCCTCACCTCCATCAACATCAAGGAGGCATACTTACACATGCCAATACATCCATCCCATTGAAGGTTTCTGCACTTCCACTTCACGGAGCGTGATTTCCAGTACTGCGCCATACCATTCAGCCTATCATCGGCCCCGCGGACATTCACCAAACTGCTAGCAGCCTTGCTGAGGTCAGTTCCCATAAGAGTCAATTGTTATCTAGACAACATCTTAGTCTTATTGTCTCCCCGGGCCCAGGCTTGCCGCGACCTACAGCTGACGATCGACACCCTGCAGGATCACAGATTTTTACTGAACTTTCCAAAGAGCCACCTGCATCCAACCACATCTCTTCTGCATCTCAGGACTGTCATCAATTCGGAGACTTGTGTGGTGTCTCTCTCAAGGGAGAGACAGCAGAGCCTGCGGTCCTGGTGAGTCAAGTCCTCAATCAGAGGTCACCTTCCCTCGCGGTATTCTCCCAACTTCTAGGGAAGATGATATTTTGCATAGATGTTGTTCCTTGGGCAAGGTTCCATGTACGATGACTGTAGTGGTATCTCCTCCCATTCCAAAGGACTCACACCAGTCACTCTCAGGCCAGGGTTCGCTTACCAACCAAGGTGTCCCTGTTGCTCCGTTGGTAGATGTCATCCCACATCCTCAAGGGATGCCTCTTCAAGGAACCAGAGCAGATTGTAGTTACAATGGATGTGAGGCAATTCGGGTTGGGGGCCCATGTCCTGGATTAAGTGGCGTAAGGTCATTAGAGTGTCCAGGAGCTGAGCAACAGCATAAATTGGCTGGAGTGATGGGCCATCCACCTAGCCCACCAAGAATTTCGAGACCTGGTTACATCCAACCATGTACTGATACTCACTGACAACGTGGCCTCCAAGGCGCATGTCAACCACTAAAGGGGCATGAGGTCCAAATCCCTGATGATGGAAGCAGAACGTCTGCACCACTGGGTGGAAAACCATCTGTTGTCAGTCAGAGTGGAACACATATCGGGCACTGTGAATGTCCAAGCAGACTGGTTTAGCAGGGCCATGGTGGTTCAGGCGGAGTGGTGCTTGTACCCAGCACTGTTCCGAGAACTGTCCGGCCGCTTCGGTCACCCGCAGATGGACCTATTCGCTCAACCCGACAATACACAGCTGCCGTGATTTTACACTAGGTACCAGGGGCAGAAGGCATCAACGCCCTCTGCAGCCCTTGGCCGGAGGGCCTCCTTTATGTCTTTCCATGTCTGCCAATTGTACCGCTGGTTATCCAGAAGATTCTGGCGGAACAGGCGGAGGTGATGCTGGTCACACCGATGTGGCCACGACGCCTCTGGTATGCAGACCTCGTCCATTTGTTCATCTCACGCCCATGGAGAATTCCGGACGACCGGATATCCCTCTCACAAGGAACCCTCATCCACCCAAATCCACAGGTATTACAGTTAGCCGTGTGGCACGTGAGTGGGCGACATGAGTCAGCAGCATTTCTCTGATAAGGTCATCTCCACTATCCAGGCAGCTCGCCACCCGTCAACAACCCGCATCTACCAGGCTACCTGGTGCACCTTCTGCAGATGGTGTCGACCAAAAGGTGCGGACCCTACCGGGGCAACCATACTGCAGGTATTGGACTTCCTACAGATGGGCATGTACAAAGGGCTAACACCTAACATCCTCTGCCATCAAATTGCAGCTCTGTCTACCGTGATCAGCGGTGGACAGGGCCACCCCCTATCTCAACACCCGGGGGTGCAGGCCTTCCTAAACGGAGTGGCGAACTTTGGTCTGCCTATTGTTCATCGCTACCCCACCTGGGACCTCTCCCTAGTACTCTGCCCTTGCGACGGCTCATTCAACCCTATTCGGACCATCTCCCTCAGGTTACTGACTCTTAAGACTATCTTTTCAGGAGCCATCACATCAGCCAGGTGTGTGTCCGAGTTGGCGGCGCTCTCTGTCCGGGATGACCTCTGCATTTTCCATCTGAGCAGGGTCGTACTACATTTGGACCCAACCTTTCTTCCAAAAGTCAACTTGTGATTTCACAGATCACAAGAGATCACTCTCCTGGATTTCTGTCCACAGCCATCTCACCCCCCGAGAATGGCATTGGCATCATCTCGACATTCGTTGTTCACTTTGCTGCTATGTGCGACGCACGGCATCATTCAGAAGGATGGAGGCCCTGTTCATGTTTTTCCAACCTGCCATCATGGGCCAAAAGGCATCATCGCATACCATCAGCCGCTGGTTGAAGACATGTATTGCCCTCGCCTATGACTGTCAGTCCCGACCTGTTCCCAGTCGCATCACTCCCCATTCTACCAGGAGTGCGGCCATGACGGTGGCCTGGGCAATGCAAGCCTCAATGGAAGACATCTGCAGGGCAGCGACCTGGTCATTGCCATCACCCTTTATCCATCACTACAAGGTGGACGTTTATGCCTCGGCTGAGGCATCCTTTGGATGGTGCGTGCTGCAAAGGGTAGCTTCTTCGGCTACGACACCAGACCAGCCTCGCTCCTGCCCCTGAAGTCTATTGCCTTGGTATGTCCCATGCTTGGATTCCTCAAGCAGCGCACAGGAGAACGACCGTTGACTTACCTGAATGGTCCTTCTATGTGCGCTACAAGGGGAATCCAAACCCGCCCTCGGCTTTGGCTGTTCTGGGCCTGGACTTCCTTTTTTCCTATGACATTCTGACTTACCTTGACTTCTAGAATTATTTTGCTTCTCTCAAGCTGGCTGATCCTTCGTGCAAAACTGAACCAGGCCAGTCAGAGGAGGCGTGGCCAGCAATTTGCATCTCAGTCTCAAGGCTAATGGACAAAGTTAACCCATGCTTGGATTCCCCTCGCAGCGCACATAGAAGGACCGTTCAGGTAAGTCAACGGTTCTATACTGCTGCTTCTAAATGACCTTTTTCTAGCTGGAGAGTCATGGTTGAGAAAAAAAATGATTAGTGGAACAGATGTCTTCTGTAATGGAGCAACTTTGTTCAAGTATCTGATATAATTGTGCATAATTTCTATTGGACCAGGGATGGCAGTCGCCCTTCTACATTGGTCCTCCTTGATCTCCCTTGTGTCTTTGGATATCTTTCTGGTCTGACTTAAAGGGTTGGAAGTGGAGATGCTTTTCTCTGATGGTTCTCCTTCCTTTAATTGGTGTATGTCTATGAGGTGAGACATGCAGCTTCATCTCGGTCCCTATATCAATATATCTTCTACATGAAGTTGCAAAGTAGATCAAAAGTTGGCAGGGGATTAAGTGTCCAGAATGAGAATAATACTCAGTTATGTATGCCTGCCTTGGACTGCTCAAGTCATGCTATACTGAGATTCCTTCTGGGTGCCTGGGTTCCATGAGAGTCTGGCCAATTCAAATCTAGTAAGATTAAGTGATTGTGAATTTTAGTTTCTTTCCCCCAAATCTGTTCAGTTTTCATTTGTTCACTTTGGATGCCCCTAGACCGAGTTGGTACACTCGGCTTCTGCTCAACAGGCACGTGGCACTTTTGGTAAGAGGGCCTTTGCACAAAGCCAACTTCCAATGGGAATTGTCATTCCTAATCTGGGAGATTCTCTCATGTCTTAATCATTTCCCTTTTGGGTTATTATAATGCATTGTACATGTGGCTACATTGAAAGGCATTTTGAAACTATAGCTGGTATGACCACATACTATCCCTTTACAGCAGGGGTGAAATGCTGCCGGTTCGCCCAAACCGGTAGTAAAAAATGCTTAACAAAGTTTTTAAAAGTTCTGACAATCAGCTGTGCTGTGCCATGGTAAGACCTTTCTTAAAAACTTTTTTTTTTAGTATTTGGGGTTCGTTTTTGGTCCCAGAAGGCTTTCCTGAGGCCTGCTAGGCCAAAAACGGGATGTGTGGGGTGCTGCAAAAAAAAGAAAGGAAGGAAGGAGGAAGGAAAGAAACAAAGAAAGAAAGAAAGAAGGAAGGAAGGAAAGAAGAAAAAAGAAAGAAAAGGGAGGGAGGGAAAAAGGAGAGGGAGGAAGAACCACAAACCTGGCACCAGACGTAGTTTCAGAGGATACCTTGAAAGCACACCAATCCAGAGCTGGAAGGCACCTAGAAGTCATCTAGTCCAACCCCTGCTCCAGCAGGACATTGTTAAAGTAAGTTTCTGTCTTTTGAACCCTCCAGTCATATGACTACATAGCCACACCCATCCACTCAAATGACCCTCACCGAGCCACGCCCCCAGAACCGGTAGGAATTTTTTTTAGATTTCACCACTATTTTGTGGGATGCGCTAATTTCTAGTAGTGCAATCTAGGTGCAACGTAAATGGTGACTATCAACCATAAACCCTACATAGAAAAGGCCAGGATATTTGGGGAATGCCTGTTTCCACGTTTCTATCCATTTCACCAGATCCCACAGGGTCAGTGTGTATCTTATTCCTTCTTTGTTGTGGTGCTTGCCTTGTGGGACAACCTCTCCACTACGCTGACCGTTTGGAAGAATATGTTTTTCTCTTGTTCTCATATGTATGTTCTTGTTTTAGGCATGTTAGCCACCCACATTTACTTAAATTGGGATGATATATTGATTGTTTGATCAATATATGGATGACAATTTGTAGAATTACAAAATGCAAAACGGAGAAGATGCTTAGCTGATTTGGGGATGTGACAATGGAGAAGTTGAGTTCTGGCAGTTTGTAGCTCACATCAGCAACAGCATTCAAACTGTATGTGATTCAGAGCAGGAATTAGCCCTGAAAGAAAGGGTTAAATGCTCACTGTCTGTCCCAGGAAAGGAAATGGTTTACATCAGTTTAGCAAGAATTCAACTTTCCCCCTTCCCATTCCTCATGACCTCTATTCCCACCTATAACCAAACCCTCTAAGAGAAGCAAGAAGCTCAATCTCATTGGACCTTCCCACCCTTTTGCAACTAGCATTTATTTGGGGCAGTGAAGGATGCCCTCCTTTTTGGGGGGGGGGATGTTGATTTTCTTCAGGAGAAAGACTACAAAAGGGAACTCTTACTCTGCACTGTTTCTGGCATAGCTAGCGTCAAAAGAAGGTCCTGAGTGTTCCACCCACCCGAATGTCATCGGGGTCAAGGCTGTGCTCACTCCATGCCGAGGTGATGCTGCTGTTCAAGAAGGATCCTGAATGCCTAATATCCAATTCATCCTCATACATCTCAGCAGCAATTTCTTCTCTCAAGGGTGAGCCTGCATACAGGAACTGTTTGGAAGAATAGGAAACAGCAAATGTTGAGTTTCTTCAGGGAAAGATAACGCAAAATGTTAATTTGAGATCTCTGATCTGTCTATAATGCACAGTGATTTAAAGTTGAAGCCAATTTCTGTTACTTCATGTTTGATGCAACACTGTAATGAAAAGTCACAAAACATGATCTACAAGTCACAATGGCTGATTTCATACACCAAGCTCAAGAAACTATATTATGGATCAGCATATTTGTGTGAATCCTGTCTATAAGAGTCTGAAACTCTTCAAGCATTGGGCTTTTTGTCCCTGTTGGTTGGGAATAAAATTGTTGAATTCCAGCAGGTTGAGGTAATTTGAGGTATGCGTTTGTTCAGTTTCTTATCTTTTTAAAACCTTTGGTACTCCTTTTGGCTGGAAATACATAATTTGTTATGTCTATATGTTGCATTTCCAGATTTAAATGGTAGTTTTATGCTGAATGACTTACTGAATACAAATAGCCCTTGAGCTATGGCCACAATTGAGCCCATTTCTGTTGCTAAGCGGGACAGTTGTTAAGTGAACTTTGCCCCATTTTTTGACCTTTCTTGACACAAGTGAATGACTGCAGGTGTGTTAAATTAGTAACAGGTTATTAAATGATTCTGGCTTCCCCATTGACTTTGCTTGTCAGAAGTTCACAAAAGTTGATCATGTAACCCCAGGATGCTGCAACAGTCATAAATATGAGTCAGTAGCCAAACTTCTAAATTTTGATCACAGGACCATGGGGGTGGCTGCATTGGTTATAAGTGAGTCATAACTCACTTTTTTCAGTGCCATCGAAAATTTGAATGGTTACTAATTGAACTGTTGTAAGTCAAGGACTACCTGTAATAACAAAAGCCTACCTCAAATTATTTCTGGCCAAGTTATATGCTCTTAACAGGATGGATATGTTCCAGGTTTCTTTCTAGAAGCAATGTTTTCAGATGTGACTTGGGAGACATATGCCTTCTCTAGGTTTAGGTTAGGTTTATTGGATTTATATGTCGCCCTTCTCCCAAGGACTCAGGGCGGTGTACAACATAAAAGAATATTACACATATTACAAAAATTAAAAGGGACATTAAATAAAGTATCCAAAAAAACCAATTGATATTTATAATAAAATTTAAAAAAATAAATTAAAATTAACAACCAAATTAATCCTATATTTTATTCTATTCAGGCCAGGCCAGCTTGCTGGAAAAGCCAACTTTTTAGGCTGCATCGGAAGGACTGGAGGTTGGGGATTATGCAAAGCTCCGGGGGCAGCTGATTCCAGAGGGAAGACGCTCCCACAGAGAAAGCTCTCCCCTGGGGGTCACTAGCCGACACTGTCTGGCTGATGGCACCCTGAGGAGGCCAACTCTGTGGGATCGCACTGGACAGTGGGAGGCTACTGGTGGCAGTAGGTGGTCTCGCAGGTACCCTGGGCCTAAGCCATGGAGCGCTTTAAAGGTCCTAATTAGTACCTTGAATCACACCCGGAAGATAACCGGCAACCAGTGCAGGCCGCCTAAAAGGGGTGCAACATAGGAGCATCTAGGTACCCCCATGATAACCCACA